AAACTGCTAAAAGGTTCTTCCGGGAAAATAATAGGATAACCCCTTGGCATAGTTTTTTCAGGTCACCTAGTTCCCTGCGGAGCGCTGTAATCTCTTCCAGTATGCGTAGTAGTACAGCTTTATTTTTTTCTTTCACTACTGCCTGTGCGTATGCATCGTGAATGAGGGATTGAGTGGCTATGAAAACAAAAAAAAATATTTAATAGTGGATTAAAAAAATAATAAAATAAATTTCATTAGTAACTAAACTAAATACTTACTTGATGAATTTGCCCTTGCTAAAGAAGATTCTCCACTATTAACAACTGGGCTCGGCTGCAGTACAACAAACGTTTGAGTCTCTTGCAGTTCCTCTGAACTACGAGTCTGCAATGTTGGTGTTGCATGAATGTATTTAAAATTAGAATGTGACATGGTCTGAGATAAGAGGAATAAAGCTGTACAAATTTTGCTCAATATTTGACAATGCTACAATCTTTGCAGTTATATCCTGAATTTTACACACTTCAATGGAGTTGTGGTACTTCAGCTCTCTTGTGCAATAGATATTAAAAAAGGAAGACGGCAGGGGATTATCAAACAAATTTTCTAAGTCTTGAACATGAACACCATATACGACTTCTTCAGCAGTGTGGACAGAATGCACTTTGAAAATTCTCTTGTCAACAACATAAAAATTGTCAGGTGCCCTTTCCGATAAGTAGAAGTTCTTATTTTTTATATATTTTTTCTTGACACTGTTTTTAATGCTTGCTCGGTTGGAATTTATGCTTTGCTCCACAATTCTGTTGTATAACTGAGAAGTTACGTTATTATTTTTTTTTTTTACAAGTGATTTTATTTTTCCAAGTTTATTCTCAAATTTAAAAGCGCTGATTGTCTCAAGGGAACCGAACTGTAATGAATCATCCGCCAGATGCGTTAAGCAATGAAAATTGTAGGTTAATAAATTTTCACTATATAAACTCTGAAATCTCTTCACAAACTCGTTTAAAAGCTCAGTGACACAATTATTTTTCCTTTTACAATCAATTTTACATAGCAAAATGCAAACACCGAGGCTTAATAGCAAAAAATGGGCATATCTTTCATCATTTAGAAAGCCCCTTAAAACGACAGGTCCAGTATACAACATAAATTGGCGAAATTCACTCGCTTTAAATAGATCCAATTCAGTAAAATCTCGTGGTTTGCGGCAAAACTCAAGAGGAATGCAACGTCTTACATTTAAAAATTCTAAATTGAGCGATCTAATTTTATTTGAATCCAAAGAATACGTTTGATTGTTTTTCTTAATCCATGACTTCAATAAGGCTTTCATAACGCCTAAGCAAACGACATGCATGTAGTCCTAAGGAAATGTTTTGATCATGTCTATAGGCAATTTTTCAAATTCTGTCATAGTTTTTACTTTATGATGTTCTTTATCACTTCTCTGTCGAAAGTCACAATCTCCTCGATTTGTATTACTTTGATAAGGAAATACTAATCTAAAATCTTTTCTTTCACCTTTTTGAAAACACTTTGTGCAAGAGCTATACCCAGTATGTCCTTTGACACCTAGTAACATCGCTCTGGCTGGAGCATCACAAATAAATGCTCGGCAAGTTACATTATAAGATTTGCCTTCGTAAACAAAGTTATTTTGTAATAACTCGTTGAGTTCTTCGACAAATTCGCTCAAATATTTATCAACATTTGTTGGATGAGACTTTCCACAAAATATACCAACGACAAAAACCTCTTCTGTACCAGTAACATTGACCAAAATTGGCCACACGCTTCTCTGTGAGCTTTTTGAAATCGGAAGACCGTCAATGTTAAAGTTTAATTCCAACATCAATAATTCCGGCTTATGTATACGCATGAAATCTGTTAGGCTGTCTTTTAGTCCATAGTGCGCATATTCCCCATCCGCCATTTTTACTGTTGGAGGATCTTTCGGTGTGCGTTTCAATGTCCTAACATCCAAAGGTAAATGCTCAATTTTTCGCTGCAACATTGTAAGCAACTCGTTCCCTGCAGCGTGACTTATATTGTACTTAAAAAGCCAAGCGGCTAATTCTTCATTGAACGTGGGCAAAACATTTTCGTCGTATAAGGATAACTCATCATATGAAGGCTCCAATGTTCCACCGATTAACAAAGCGGGCCCTGGATCGGATTGAATGTTATGTTCAATTTTTTCTCCGCAGACTTCACTACTCATAAGCAAATTTATAATTTCTTTAGACTGTCTTTTTTCACGTTTTAATCGCGACATTTCTATCTGTTTACTTTTTCTTTTAATAATTATAATTAAAATATATTTTAAAGAAAGTAAACATGTCACTAACAATTGAAAAAATGTTATATTTACAGCTCATGTCGTTGGCATTTGCATTTCATTTTTAAGTTTAAATCATTTATAAACATTCGCTCTCAACACTTATTAAAGGTTTATTTGAAAAAACTTTTAATAAGCTTAATATTAAAAATGCTTATTTAACGCTTATTATAGCAAACTTACTGTAAGTTATTTTTAAAAACATTTACTGAAATGCTTGTTGGGTAGTTATTGAAAAACACATAACTATTTTTGTTGGAGCAGCGACGATATGTTAGTTTTGCCTTCCAATTTTTTGAGTTTTCATCTTTTGTTTTATAATAAAGGGATTTTCCTATCACTGTAATGCCTTCTGACCCAATGGAGTATTCTAAAATAAATGAGATAAATATTACTATCACGCAGACCTTCAACTTTTCAGTGCTATAAGAAATCATCACTAACCTTTTCGTATTAAGCCCTTTAGTGCCAGCTGCCCCGTTCTCAGCTTCCATTATTTGGATAAGAATCTACTTTTATCCGACTTTTATAGAAATATATCTATATATATAAAAATTAGATGTCTTTCGTATGACCGCGATGGCTGACCAAACGGCTGAACCCATTTCGATTCTGTAAAAAGCAGTTTGTTGGAACTTCTGCGGGGAAGGTTTTTCGATAATAAAAAAATTCAAAAGCTTGTCTTGTTGTTGCCAAAAAATAAGAAAAGCTGACACGTTATTATTTCACAATTTCATAGAGTTTTCTGTGCATTGTGTTTATGTCACTAAACTACTAAACGGCTGCACCGATTTTGTTCGTATTTGGAACATATGTTGGTCAGCACCCTGAAAATAAATATTCTAACGAAAACTGTACTTGCTCGGTGGCGATGGGGTCGGAATATTCCTAAAACCTGCATTTACTTGCCAACTTGGCTCACATTTAGAACATATTTACATATGTTAGCAAGAATGATAGAATACAAGATTGCGCATTCCTGCGGGTGATAACGTCACGTTAGCAGCGAATAGGGGAGACTTAGGGCCGTTTTCTAATGTAAGCAGTAAAGTTGCCTTTACTAACGGCAGATAAATTGTTCCTCAATTTATAGTGTTTTCGTTTTCTTACCTTGCCGGTAAAAATAAATTTGTTATTCCGTAGAGTGAAACTTCACTACATTCGTCATAAAATTTCAAAGGTTGGCAATGCAACATAAGAAAATATAGAGCAAGAGCAACTGTTAACAAAAACCAAAACCTTAGTTGAAATATCTAATATATCTGGCTCATGAACCAAAACCGAACCAAAATTTAAAGTTGAGTACAAATTTTAAAGGTTGCATCGGGTGAGCAACAGTTTATCGGTTCGAGAAATTAATGCGCTGATGAGAAAACGAAAACTCGTATATCGAGACGATAAAGTGGCTGGTAAACTAAAGGTTAGATGAGAAAACGACCCTTAAGAGGGGAAAAAATAGCGGCGGCCGCCTTTTGTAAATAAATCATAGTTTTGATTACCTACTTTCTTAACAGAAAATCGTGGAACGGAGAAAAATAGAAAATTACGCCCAGGAAGAGCAAAATAAGGAAGAATGAAGAAACACTGAGGGCCGGTCCATGCATATAACAGGGAGTCGATAACGTCGGTAACGATCTTTAACGGGGATTAGTATTAACCAGAGATAGAGAAACCGGCCCTAAGCTAGTTGTCAATAAATTAACATGGCCTTGTATTGACTACTGCTAGGAATTGTCGTTTTGTTCAAGACATACCCAGTTCTTCCAGTGCTGGACACAGCCGTTTTACAGCCTGTCGTTGAACTACAGTCGATAGGATTGCTTCTGACTTTTCTTCTACATAAATACGTCAAATTGTATGTGAAATTTGATTCAATTGCTTCAGTACCATTCTCATCGCAGCCCAATATACTTGAAGCTCGTTAATTCGAAATTAACTGCTGTTGATCCAAAATAAGTGCTCCAGCTAATCCTGAGGATCAGAGGAATTTCTAATGCAAACACTAGTCAAAACGACCTGCTGTTGACTATTGCAGAGCTTCCTAAAGTAGATTACGAGAAACTCAAGGGTTTCGCAGAAACGTCACCAGGGTTTCTTGAAATGATTCATTTTTGGCTGCGTAATAGTTCACCAGATACATAAGTACAAATCACGGCTGGCTCGTTTACCATTACTTAAACTTCGGTAGATAGGCGCGTCGGCAGTAGGTTTGCGTTGCCCACATAAAAGGTTTGTATAGTAACTTCTCCAGTAAAACATTGCAGCGAGAGCATAAAAGCAAAATAGAGCGTAAAATTGAGAAGAAGAGAAAACTAGCAGAAAAAGTTATTAAACACAAAACTAGTAAAATTTGCAAGTGAATAGTTGCTGCACTGTTTTGATATTCTGCCGTAAACATTTTACTATACATCAATACATCATTAATATTTTAATTTCCACTCATTTTACTTTTGTTTGTGCTAAACCAATTCAACAAATGGTGGCTTTTGACATTTCTTCTTCTGCTAGCTAATTTCTGCTAGTAAAAATTTCACTAAAATCTAACCGAATTAGATGTTCTCATAAATGAAATGAATCTAAGCACAATACATTGAGATGCGCATAGGTGCATTTTATTTTGAATCATTTCATGGTTTTATTTTCATAGGAGCTTTCTTTTTTTCATTCACTACAGAAATGCTGAAGACCGAGCAAGATACCACAATCACATGATGCAGCGGCCTTTAGTAGACGACGGCAGTAATGTGCATGGTGCGTATGCTAGTGGAGGTGGTGAAGGGGCTGGTTGGGGTGGTGTTCCCACTGGCACTGGTGGCACCGGATACTCTGGTTATGGGTAAGAAAAACGATTCTCATGAAGCAGACCAGCATTCACACATCCCGCACTAATTGTTAATTAACATTTACTTCCTTTGGCCTTTGAATGCATTTTGACTTACATTTTCGCCGGCATATCAGCTATCAGGCCCCCTCTGGCAATGGCGGCGGCTATGACTATCATCCTAGTGCGCCGGTACATGTGCCCACTGGTGGCTCATACTCTCATCATGCCACAGTTGGTAGTGGTTATGGGGTACCTCCCCCACCTAAGCATCTGCCGTATCCCCAACCTACGCTGGCGACCAAAGCAAAGGATAAAAAGAAGAGCAGCAGCAGCAGCAGCAGCAAAGCTTCTACAATGAATGCCTTGACTTTGTTGGCGTTTTTCTTCTTTGTGAATTTGCTGCAGACTTGCCTCAAGGAGAACATGGACGCGATGAACCCCACTGTGATGGTTATGACGACGAACGTGGTGCGCAATCGCAATACCAAATTGGCGGAAATGAACTCGCGCGAACAGAGCACTTCACCCGCATCGACATTCACATCGGGCGCGAATATTGTCTTGCAGCCAGAGGATTTGGTGTCGGCGGCCGCAGTCAACCCAGTGGCTGCGGCAGTGCCGGCTGTGTCTAGCGTGAAGTTGCAAACATCTCCGTACAGTGATGGGGGGGCCAATGGAAATGCGCCAATTACCGCGAGTGTTGGCAATAATTTTGCAGGAAGTGCCAGCTCCTTGGGTAGCAACGACAATTATAACCACAATAACAACAATCAGGGCATCACCCACACTGACGATCGAAGACCTACTGATCCACAATACAGTTATGGCAGCAACGGCGCACTAAATGGGCAGCATCAATATAATAATATGAATTTAAACAACAACAATCATGCATACGATGATACCCCAAATGCTGCTGAGGTGCCTTTTTCACTAACTCCAACACCATCTGTCGTAACCGCAAATCGCTATCCACGACCAGATTTTCATAATTCAGCGCACCCATATCCTAATCAAACGATCTCCACATCTTTAAGCAGTGGCAATCATCATCACTACCATCAACAACAACAACGCCCATACCATCCTGGACATTATGAACAAGAATCGTTTGAGCAACAGTTCCCGCAACATCATTCTCAATCACAACATCAACACCACCAACATCAATATGATCAAAATAAATTTCAAGAGCATCAGCACCAACATAATCATGAAAGCTACGCCCAAGGCCACTTCCCTCAACAGCAGCAGTCAGATCAACAAGACCACCATCAAGAACCACCGCCACATGACCACTTCCAACACCATTACCCGGTACAGCATTCGCTGCAACACTCGCACTTCCATTCTCATCAGTACGGCCAGCATTCCAAGAATCATCCTCTTCTTCAACCCAGTGCCACCCACAGTGAATCCTCACACCCATGGTCCTACAGTCCTGGGTTTTCATCACTAAATGCACATAAACGTGGCTCGAGTTACTCTCCGCTTTCTTCGTATACGTGGTCGTCTAGCTCACGGCCATCCCATGTGAGCGGCAATAATAATTTTGAGGCTGGTAATGATGACGACGATAGCCGTTACGACGATTCATTTTACACACGTTCAAATAGAAAATTTTAGAAATCAATTATTAAGAGAGCTGTTACTTAGTAGGTCCATTCCTTATCTTTTCTCATGGTGAAGTTATACCAGGCATGATAAAAACAGTACAAGGTAAAATCATTGAGAGGCAGCCTGATGTTTGCCAGCAATATAATTTTAAAAATTCAAACTCAAGCTCGCACACACACATTCTCATTTTTGAGGCATCCACACACCTGTGCGATTCCGTCGGAGCGGATCCGAACCGTTTTGGATGCTACAGAATTGACTACTTCGAAAACGCAAGAACGCACACATCTGTGCGATTCTATCGCAGTGAAAAATGTCATTTTATAAACAAACAAAAAATATTTTTCCACAAAATATTAAATTTTTAGCATTTCTACAATAAAAATGTTTCGTTTTCTTAGGTTAATTTTTGTTTTAACTTTACAAAATCCGTCTATTGACCTTTTTAGTTTTCAAAACGTGTCAGTCTGTGATTTCGGCTCGACGAAAAGAAGAACTGTGAATGTTCGAATAAATCGCTACAGCAAAATCGTTTAAGTGTGTGGTTCCTCATCTAAAACTATGGTCGGCATTGTTTTGTAATTTTTGTCCGAACCCTGCAGTACGGGGGAGTGACTACAGGACTGCTGAATGGGTAGCTCCCTGATAAACACCGTCAATTACCGACCGACTACTTGCAGTGTCCTAGGCGGTAGTCACCATCGGCTCTCTCTGCACTACCTGGAGTTACTAAAGTAGTCACTTGCGTGATTTATGGGCGCCCTCTGTCGTAGTTTTTCGCTATTCTGCTTACGACTGGTTCGACTCTGCACTACCATGTGCACGACCACGGGTTAATAGAGTAGCTACTTACCTAGGAGTCGGTGCAGTAGCGGTTCAAAAGTAGCGATTGACTCCAGCAGTACTGGAGGGAACAGATTCGCACCGACAGAATCGCATAGGTGTGTGGATACCTTCAATCTCAAACACCAACAATTGTGAACAATTTCATTTTTTTATTTTCAATTTTAAATGATTTTGAAATGTTTGGAAACGTCAGAAAAAAATCATGGCCGACGGATTGAGAGGACGATTTTACCTTTTAACATTTTTATCATGGTAGAACCCATGGTGGAATAATAATAAGGTGTTGTCAGTACCGACGTGTTTGTTGTAATTTTGACAAGATCGGCATTCTTTTTTTCAGTGCTGCCGATCTTAATTTTTATACTACTATTCGTTGGGAAATAGTATGCCAAATATTCGTTTTATCGCGATTTTTAAAGAACTTGGTGTTTTCAGAACGATATTAATATTTAAAATTGATGGATTTGTATAATTTTTGCCCTCAAAATGTAAAAAAAAATAAAAGATAACCTGGTTATCAATGGAAAAAGACGTACACAAAAATCGTATGGAAACCAAAATGTTGTTAATTACTACATGGGAGGTGGGCGTGGTAATTAACAACGTTTTGGTTTTATTATTATTTTTATACGAATTTTGCTGTTCAAATTAACATTTCAAATTATCAACAAACATTTGGCGTATTTTTGCACCGGTCGTTGCCTATGGATTAATGACAAAAAAAATCATATACATGCATAATATTTCATGTATTAATTTTCAAATAATCATATTGTCAATGGCTGGTTTACTGTATACTGTGCACGTGGTATCATGATAAAAATATAGCAAGGTAGGACCGCTGAGAGGCACTTTTAAAATTCTTGACGTTTCCAAGCAATTTAATTTTAAAATTTACTCACTAACTCACACACACATTTTCATTTTCAATCTCAAGCAACAACAATTTTGAACAATTTCATATTTTACTACGCTTTTTATTTTAAAAAAACATCAAGGCCGACAAATTGAGAGAACGGTTCTACTCATGGTGGAATAATAACAAGGTGTTGTCAGTTACTTAACCTAACTTTTTCGGCAGGTCTATTCCGGGCACGCATTTTAAAGTAGTAGAAAAGGTATTAATTATTATTCGTATGCAAATAATAATAAAACCAAAATGTTGTTAATTACTATCTGGGAGGTGGGCGTGGTAACTGACAAATTTCGTCAAAATTTAATACTAACCTAAATTATACCAAAGGCAACTTCGGCTTCGACTTTCGTTAAAATATTTAAATTTTGTTCGGGTTTACAAAGTGTGTACAAACAGACACGGCTGAACTAATTCATCTCGTCATTCTGAATATTTTGATAAATATGTATGTATGCATATGTGTCATACATATTGTCGGCCGCTGTGGTGTAGTGGTAAGCAGTGCGCGCTTCCACTCCACAATGCCTGGGTTCAAACCCTGGTCAAAGCAACATCACAAAAATATAGAAAAAAGGTTTTTTCTTAACAGCGGTCGTCCCTCGGCAGGCAATGGCAAACCTCCGAGTGTATTTCTGCCATGAAAAACAGCTTCTCATAAAAATACAATCGCCGTTCGGAGTCGGCGTAAAACTGTAGGTCCCTCCGCTTTGTGTGACAACATCAAGGCGCACGCCACAAATCGGAGGAGAAGCTCGGCCAAACACTAACATATGTGTAAGCGCCAATCTATTATTATTATTATGCATATGTGTATATGTATATACATTTTATACGGTTGAAGTGTTACCGCTGAAATTTTTTGAAAGTCACAAAAAAAGGGTCACAGCCGAAAAGTGTTTTTAAATCATTCAAATCTTGTATACCATGTATGTAAAGACTTTCATTATTTTACCTTTCGAAACTCAGTAAGGCGTATTCTTAGTCGAAATAAAATCGACTCTAAAGCTGCTTAGAGTAGAATTATCTATGACTATGCCCTATTATTTTTAATAAATTGTTAATGGAGATCATCATGGGATAGGGGATATAATAAAAAGACGCAATATGCATATTTTGCATTTAGTATGAAAACAAAATTGCAGTTAAAAAGAGTACTTGTATCATTAAATAAATAATAAATTTAACACAAATAAATTGGGGGAAATGCTAAGCTACAAAAACATTGCATTAATTCATGCTACTTCTTGACATTTAATCGGAAAATATTTGTCATAATAAAAAGGTTGAAATCAGTCAAAATCTGGCTAGAGGTGTAATTTTTGAGTGCCTTTGAACGGTAAATACTAAAAGCATTTTTAAACACGCAAGAAAAATATAATTTATGAAGGAATTGTCAAAATGTGTATATAGAAAAAAAAAGTGTCAAAATAAGCCTTGTTAAAAAAAGTTGGTGTCAAGGGGCACCAATCTCCAAAACGTGTCAATTTGACATGTTAGTCGCACAACGGCAACACTGTATGGTTGACAAACGGGCTCGCTTATCTGCATAAACTGTTTTTATTTGCATTATCCTCTTGCAAATAAGAATAAGCGGCTGGACAAATACATACAAACTTCGTGCGTTTGTCCGAGTGTGGAGATGTAATTGTGTGTACATATTTCATAAAAGGTATGCAGGTCTACACTATAACAGTACTTAGTATATTTGAAAATTAGAGAGTCCGTCCGTCTATCCGTCCGTCTGTGCACACGATAACTCGAGTAAAAATTGAGATATCTTAACGAAACTTGGTACGTGCACTTTTTTCGGGCGGATGGTATTGATAATGGGCAAAATCGGACAATAAATATGCCTACCTCCCATATAACAGAAACTACAATATTTTAGTAACTACAGAAGATTATTCACTCAAAATTGATATTTACAATAATTTTTAGACGGAAAATAAGCATATTATAAATTTTTGGAAAATGGCCACGCCCACTTATGGTTATATGTGTATATCTTGGTAACCGCTAACATACTAAATGGCTGAAATTTTTAAAATCGGACAATAACCACGACCACATCCCATATAACGGTAGTTTAGAGAAATACGAAATCTTCGATAAATCACTAAATATTAAAGCTAATTTATTCAAAATTGATGCTTGCCACAATTTTTTACCAAGAAATACGCCTATGATAAAATTTTGGTAAATGGGCGTGGCACCGCCCACTTATGATCACATATATATATATGTACCTCGGTAACCGTTCTACCAATTTGTACCAAGTTCGGTGTGGTTATTGTGCTTGCCACATAAAAGCAAAACTTGGAAAATAGTTGAAATTGGACTAGAATTACTGCCACTTTTCATATAACGGTAAATTTCAGAAATGCTTAAAACTTCTGTATTTCAAAATTTAGGGACGCTAATTTACTCAAAATTGATACTAACAACAATCCCTTGAAAAAAGTAATATTATTTGGAATTTTGAAAAATGGGCGTGACATATGACTTTATAAGTTTATCTCATTATGTCTAACTGAAACTTCCATCGAAAATGTTTACAATCGGGGTAAAACCACCATGGAGTGGTGGTTTTCGGAAAGGTGAAAGACATATACATATTTAGTACTTGCGCCGGATATTTAATGTTCGGCTCCGCCCGAACTTAAACTTTCTTACTTGTTAGTTTTGAATTTGAATTTTACAATTAAAAAGCATACATACATTTTTAAAATAGATGCGTTTGGTCGTCGCGGTCCTTATTCGTTATTCTTTGCATAATTTTTTATGTTTATTAAAAAAAGTTATTGGTTTCAGCAAGAGGCTGTTAACGCGCGCAAAACGGCAGGAGTTCGTGTTGCTTTGGCGACAGCATTGCCTATGTGAACAGCTTCATATAAACGTATGTATTTATCTTAGCTGTCAAAGCAAAACTATCGCCAAAGCAGCACGGAGGCTGTACGTGCCGGAGTTGTGTTCGGAACACGGTATGACTTATGTAGGGACTGCATCCGGTCATAATCGCTTACGCTTCACGCCTGATGTGCTTGGAATTTTGTTTTCTCGTTAATTTATTTTATGTGACTTGAAAATATATCTCACTATAAGAAAATATTGAAATTGGATTTCATTTGGGTTAACGAAAATGACAACTGCCCAATAGAACTTGAAGCGAGATCTCCTTATGTGAGGAACAAAAGAGTACTCCCCTCAACCTGATTTGTGAGCAATAAGAGAGATTTGTCGGTTTTGTACTCCTTTATTACTCGTTTAGGAGTCTAGTAGGAGATCTCCTAAGCAAGCCCATGATCCATGATTTGGGAGCGGTAAACGAGATTTG